GAGGGTTAAATAGCTTTCCTAAAGAGACCCACTTGAGATTGAAGCCAGGTCTGCCTGTCTGATGTCAGAGCTGCTGTCTTAGGCAGTATTTAATCTGAAAGAATTTCTGGACAAATGGAAACATACTTGAGTCCAATTCCAGAACCATTACTGCATTCCTCAGAGTATCCTCTCTAAACGAAAGTGATCCTACGCAGGCTTTTCCATCAGGAGGTGATGATAGGCAGAGGATTTCTCGAGAAGTCACCCTGAGTATACCACAGAGCTGTCAGCGTGTCTGTAGAATACCAAGAAGCAAGCAGCAGGGAACACTGGCTTTCAGTTGTCACAGTGCTGTGGCAGACCACAGCAGGGACAACCAAAGAGTGATTGCTGCAGTTTTTCTTCTGAATGTTGAGTCTTTTCCTAAAGTGTTTTCTTATCATCTCACATTTCCATACAGTTCAAACCAACAAACAAGTGCAGAAGCCCTGTTCCATCCCAGGCACTGGGTTCAATATTTAGGAGGGCCCAAGGGACTGACCGGCCTTTTGCTCTGAAGGCTCTTAGTGTCAGACGTGGTGGTTAGCACCCAGAGTGAAATGTGAACAAAGTTGTAAGGGGAGGTGAGGAAGTAGCCTTTAATTCTGGCTGGGAGACCAGGAGAGGCTTTAGGAGGGTTGTAGCATTTGGTTAGAGCCTTAACAATGAAATGAATTTTGTCAGGGTGAATGTGTGGGGAGGGGGCACTGGCGGGGGAGCAGGTGGTCTGCTGGCTGCAATAGACAGGAGACAAGGGACATTGGAAGGGCTTCCAGGCTGAGAGAAAAATCCAAGGAGGAGCACAGAAATGAGGAGTTTCAGGACGTGTTTGGGAAACAGAGTAGTCAGGCTGAATGAGGCTCAAGGTCAAGAGTGTGTGAAATGAAGCTGCACAGATAGTTTAGGGCCCAGGGTTCGAGGTTCTGAGTTATCCTTTACTGAGTGCCTACTGTATGCCAAATGTGACCAATGAATTTGGATTTTTGTGTGTATGTGTGAGGGAGTATTGAATTTGAATACCTCTATTTTTGTATGTATGTAATATTTATTGCAAAACTTGAACAATGCAAAAGGTAGTGGGAAAAAAAACCTTATCCTGAATGTTCTTCCACGGAAGTAATAACTTCTGGCATTTTAGTGTGTATGGTTCCAGACTTCTAATTATGCACATACAAGTAAATATACACTTCTTTGAAAGGTAGGATTGTACAGCATGTATTGTTCAGTCGCTTTATGGTTAATTTAAGAATACATGTTTCTCTGCCGGTGAGTTCAGATTGACCTCATTCTTCTCCAGGTTGTGTAGCTATCCATTACTCTGATATAATTTATCTATAAAGACCCCCTAGGAGGGACCTGTAGATTATTTTCAGTTTTTTACTGTTATAAACAATTCTTTAGTGAAATTTCTTGTATGTTTATGCACTTTTATTTGTGGAAGAAATGTTTAGAATAAAATAAATGGGTCAAGTGTTCTATCGTTTAAAATTTTCATTGTGCCAAATTGTCCTTTAATACATTGTAATAATTTCTTTCTCCTAATAGTATCCATACCTATTTTCGTATTTTTAACGACTTCTAATTTAATTGGGAAAATGTTTTCATTCATTTTTATTTGACCATTGGTGATGAGAAAGTACATTTTCATAATTTTGTTGGCCATTTGTATTTTTCTTTTGGGAACTGCTTGGTCCTGAGGTGCACAGTTTTTTAAAAAAAAATTGATGTACCTTTTTTAGACTACTTTGTAGTACTTTCTAAAATATGGTTAGTAATGCTTTGTGATAGCCATTAATTCATGTATTCTTCAAATAGTTATTGAGTTACCTATCTTTTGTGTACTGGTGCAGGGAGCATACTGGTGAACAAAACAGGTATGGATCTTACCATCTAGTGAGACCTATGGGCTTTGAAGAAAGGGTCAGGTGCTCAACTAGAGAATTAAAATTCTCATCAGCAAGTCTCACAGGAAGCAGAAGCTGCAGCTCTGCAGCGAGGGGGTTAAAGTCACTGGTGGCCACATCGTTATGGAGAAAACTGAGAATGTCAGGGATGTTCCCCAGAGAAGCCATGTTAATGTTTTTTTGCCTGGTTCTTCTTAGCTGTGATTTAGGCCAGGGACCTGTGATGACTTTGCTTAGTTAAATTAGACAAGTGATTTGGTTTTGTCCTGTAGCTGAGCAGCAGTGACTTTTTCTCGTTTTACCAGTCTCCTTTGGAGAAATAAAGGTTTTATAGCATGTAATCTTGACTTTTTTCAACTCCCAGAGGAATTCCAAAGCCCTGAGTCGGCACTTCTATCTATAGCCTGCCAGCATTTTTTACATTTATTAAATCAAGGTAGAGATGTGTATTTTATCTATATGATATCAAGGTCTCAATAAATTATTATACTGTGGTAAGGCTTGCTGGTTATCTGGGTTATGTTCTGTTAGGATTTTATCTAGCTCTTAATTTACAATTTTCAGTGTAAGCTACCTTAAATCTTGAAACTAACCATTTGTCTGATAACTTTTTTTTAATGGAGTCACTGAGGATTGAGCCCAGGACCTCATGCATGCTAAGCATGTGCTCTACCGCTGAGCTGTACCCTCCCCCTGCCTGATAACCCTTTTGATAAGTGATCATTAAATGAAACAAATTTCTCAGGCTAAAGAATAAAAGAATATGGTAGAGTTCCATGTAATTCAGTTGATGTTGGCTTACCTGCTTTGTATGTAACTATGTATAAAGCAATATTGATGTAAAATTATAAGTGTTCCTTAAAGTTTTTGTTTAAATCTTAAATATGTTGCTTTGTGACTAGATATATAGGTATTCTTATTTTTCTGTTAGCTGTATTTTTTTCCAGTCCCATGAATGTAAATGACATTTGAGTTACAGAAATTTGAAATCCACAGAAGCAATTAGTAAATCTTCATTCTTGATTTATTAGATAAGTAGATTGAATCTGATCATTTTATTCTCAGAAGGTAGGAATTCTGATGAAAGAAGGGTTTAGAGAATCAATGCATGCAAAGTAGCCAAATAGATTAAAAGAGTAATTAACTTATTGATTAAAATGTAGCAGTAGACAGCACACATCTCTCTAACCCTCTTCGAAGATTAAAAGAGAAAATTATAATGAATTACAGCATATTTTTGAAGAAACCAGTCGTATCAGGCATTCTCATCAGGATTTTGGTTCTCCTCATGGTTTGAGAAGATGATGAGACAGACAAGATAGTTTATTACGTACTGAATTTTATAAAGCCCTTAAAAAATAAGTGAGAAGAATATTGAGAAAGGTTGACTTTTTTTTTTTTTTAACTTTCCTACATTACTTGTGAACTTTCCCCCATGACTTAGGCCACCTTTGTATCAAGAAGGAAATCCTATGTTGCCATTTTACTCCCACTTGGGATTTTGCACTAGCCCGTCTGTGTTCTTCTGGTGACAACTTTTTAAGTCATTTGCCGAGTATACCCTCATGGTCTTTGGGGTTCTGTCATGCCTTTTAGTCTGATCACATAGTATTAATGTTTATGGAAATGGACTTTCCTACTGTACACTAACCTTACATACTTTACCTGTGCTAGCTAATTGAGAAATAGACATTACTGCATTTCTCATCAGAGTGATTTCATTTTCCAGTGAACTCTTGCAGTGGGTTTATGGTAAGTGGTAATTAGAGCAGAAAGTGTTTGCGTGGTACTAACCCTTGTACCACCGGAGCATTTTGTGAACCCAAAGGATGGAAACATGGGATCTTTTTGGACTGTGCCTGTATGTTTAAATAGTACTCACTCTTGTTCTGTGTCATGGGATATATAGTTTTTAATGTCTCCTTTTACTTTTTGAATAGGTAATGTATTCACATTGTTCAAAATCTGAAAGATAGGAAAAGGTAGTTCAGTTTAAACATTACCATGTAGGAACCATGTTGTGAGTTTCCTCTTTGTAGTTCTTCCCCTTGCTTACTGTAAAATGGTGTTGATTCATCTCTTTAAATAATGCCTTTAGAATTTGTGTATTGACCTTTCTTTGCCAGTGTTTCTGAGTTCATATTTTTTTGAGTTTCTTTTTGCTTTGACTAAACTGTAACTAGTTTTTAAAAGTCTACATTTGCTTTACTGTAATCACAGTGTGCAAACTTAATTTTTTAAAGTGCACCTTTTCCAAAGCAACATGGTCTCTTTTGGGAGATGACTAGTTTGGGCCAGGTTTTCATGTCCTCTAGTAATTTACCTCTTTTTTTTTTTTCCCATTTATTCACTTAAATTAAAAATGATGAAAGAACTTTCAAATATACACACAGTAGAGAAGATACCATAGAAATCCTCAGATGTGTGAGTTTTGAAATACGGATGTCGATTTACAAGGAGCATTACTTGTTTAAAATGGAAGTCCCCGTAGTTTTTTTTTTTTTTAATGTAGATTCACTACTCATTAGTTAAAAAGACACATGTAACATTTGGTCTATACGAAAAGATCACTGAGATAAGTGACCAGATGAAAAAAAGTGCAGCATACTACCTTTTACGTTTAAAAGAAGGTAAAGTACATATTGATACTTGCTTGTATATGCCTACAGTAACTTTGGAAGGATACAGTAAGAAACCAATTAAAGTGGTTACCTGAGTTTTTAGGGTCAGGGAAGGAGATTTTGAACTCTGCTTTTCTGAAGCATAGGAAATCATTAAAAGTGAATTTAAAATTTATATTAAAATAAATCTATTAAAAATCATCAAACTTTTGTTTAAAGCAGAATATGTAATTTAAAATTTACAATTTGAAAATACACCACAGTAACGGTTATTTTCCCAGGGCAAGCTGTAGATTTTGACTGTACTGAAGTAGACTGTGGTTTACTTTAAAACTATACTTTAAAGAAATTGCTTTAAAAACTGCTTTCTTATTCCTACCCCCAAAATGGCAGAGTTTGTCTTATTGTAACTTTTTTTTCCCTTTTCTTTCTTTTTTTTTTTTTTATTTTAAAGGCTGGTGGGGTAGCAGGTGTCTGTGTTGACTTGATATTATTTCCTCTGGATACCATTAAAACCAGGCTGCAGAGTCCCCAAGGATTTAATAAGGCTGGTGGTTTTCGTGGAATATATGCTGGCGTTCCTTCGACTGCTATTGGATCCTTTCCTAATGGTAAAAATTATATTGATATTCTCACTGTTTTATATAAAGCCAAGATAATGGGATTTATTTTTAGAATGGTATGTAGTCTGACCCTATAGAGAACTCCTTATATGCTGTAGTTGACCTTCTGAATTTGTTTTCTATTCATTAACCCATTATTTTTGACTCAGCTAATGCTGTAGATTCCATTCTAGTGTATTTGTAATTTAAAAAAAAAGAGCAATCTTTTTAAAATGGTTGTGTTGTTAAAGCTCCTACTTAGAATCCTTAAAGTTATTCTAACATTGATTGTGATGCCTTAGAGCAGTGGTTCTCAGCCTTGCCTGCATGTTGGAATCTCTTGGGAAACTTCACAGCATACTGATGCCAGAATTTTAATTGGTCCGAGCTTTGCCTGTATCAGGAGTTTTAGTAGCTTCCCAGGGGATTTAGATGTGAAGCTGAGTTAAATAATGACTGCCTTCGAGATTCTTGTGAAGCAGACTAACCTAAGAGACATGAAATCTTTGTTTTAACTAAATTGCTCTTCGACGATGCAACCTATTCCCACTAACTTCTTTGAAGTGTCTTGTTTTGGTTTTGAAGTCACATGTGATTTATGGCCCTCTTATTCTATAATCACTATAATCTATTTTATTTAATCCACCCATTTGGTATACTTCTTTTCGGTATATTTTAATTGTTTACTGATGCTTTGCATGGCACTCAGAAGCAAACTAAGCAAACAGAAAACCATGACCACCACCACCACATGCATATACACGACACTCACACAAACCACTGCTCTAGGATATCCTTAAATCCTGGGGTTTGATTTCTTTTTTCTCAGTATATTTCGTGAGAAATTCTCCCCTGTTAACTTGACATTTAAATGCCCATGTATGCTCATCTGTGAACACAGTGTCCACCTAAAGGTTTGGAGTGCAAATCTCTTTGATCCCTTAGTTTATCCCTTCTTCCCTCTCCCCGAGCCATCCTTAGAACAGGAAACTGTTTTGAGATTATCCTTGATTTTTTTATGCCTTACTTTTCAGGGGTTGATCCTAGCAAGTTACTGTTGAGCACCCGCTGCGTGCCAGGTAGAGCTCTGTGTGCAGGAGATGGGCCTTGGTTCCTATTTGTCCACGTCGCATTCACTTAATCACCTCAAGAGCCCCCCCCCCTTTTTTTTAAAGTACTGATACCTGTGACCCTTTCCCAGAGACTGGGATTTAATTGGTCTGAGGTGTGGCCTGGGCTTTCGAGGTTAAAAAAAAATCCCCAAGTGATTTTAATATGCAAACAAGTTGTGGAACCTCTGAACTAGGGAATTGCAAAGGAATACGTTACTAAGTCCTAGTCTTTTGGTCATCAGCTCTTAAGATATTTCCTTTATTGTTACAAGTATTATTTTTCTCATACATATTACACTTAGGAATTGTTGGTAGATGAGGTATTGGTGATGGTCTACAGGATACATGGCACTCCACTAAGCTCACAGACCTTTTTTAGATTCTTGTCAGCAGGAGTTCACACACAGAATGTGGTTTTGAATTTGTGTGTGTGTGCGCGTGTGAGAAAGTGGTGTTCTTGCCCTGCTTTTCTTGTGCGCGTGTGAGAAAGTGGTGTTCTTGCCCTGCTTTTCTCTGCCGTCCACAGCACATCATTGAATGGGAGATGCTGAGTAAAGCTTCAGAGTGCCAGGATTTCAGAAATGGCCTTGGTTTTTATGCAAATTATTGGTGAATTGAAACCTTCTACTTGGCATTTAAAAAAGTTTTTTTGTTGCTGGTTAAGCCTCTAGTCGAGTACAATATACCAGTGTAGCGTTTAGTGGCTGTAGCCTTTTTTGGGAACATACTCTGCAGGGGGGTGGAAAGGACTGAGGGTCAAAAGAGGAGATGAAAAGACCTTTATTCAGGATCCTTACTCCATATTTAGAAGGGAATGTAGAAGAACCATCGTTTTTTCTTTGTTTTCAGTTTTTGGGGCTTTGTGTGTTTTTCAGAGTTTGAAGAGACTGTAGGTATTGGATAGATCAGCCCCCTTCTTTGTTGTCACTTGCTCAGAACCTCACTTGGAACCTTACTGTGCCATCATTTCCAAGTAGCAGGGGCTTACATGGGTGACACCCAGGAGAGTTTGGGACTTACATTTCTAAAGGTCTTTTGTCTGTCAAAAAAAGTGGCAATACAGTTCTGACCAGATTGAGGTGGTTAACCATGACAACCTAGAAACTTTTAGCACTGTCTTTTTCCCTTCTCCTGGGAGGTAGAGGTGGGCAGGTGGAACGTGTGGCAGGTAGAGCTTAGAGCTGAATGCGATTGGAGATACTCTAGCTGTACATTTAGTGAGTGGGCCAGAGTAGGTTCAGCCTGATTAGGAATCACAAGTGGGAATAGCGACTTGCAGTAACTAGATGAAATGACTTGCATGGTCTTTACTCATCCAGGGACAGCGTGCCTCTTCATTTGGTCTGATGTTTGTTGTTAGTAGCTCAGGGGTGCATACACATGACGAGGAACTGGTTTTCACTATCCAACTCTTTTCCTGACTGTTTCAACTTTGTTGTGACATGTTCAAATGTCTTTTGAAAGATGAATATGCCATTTATTTATCTTTCATGCAGATGGTAACATCTTTTGATTAACAGTACATGGCAAGTCTTAAAGTGTTTTATGAGGTTAGGATTATTCATGGTGATAGGAGCAGCTTTTTAGAGATTTTGATTTCCAGTTTTAATTAAATAGTTGATTGTTTCCTTGATGTAAAGGTGAGTTTGATATGGTATAAAGTAGCCATGGTTATTTTGAGTAACCAGCAATAAAACATTATGGAGTAGATGTTTTATTTAGTTAAGGGATATGTTTGCAATTTTAACCATCTATAAATAGGCGTAGCTGATTGTTTTATGATCACGTGTAAAGATATTTTGGATCACAGAAATTCATATTCTTTTCTAAAAACCTTACTAAAAAGTTCTAAGTGACTTGTCAGTACAAATTGATAAATGGCAGGTTAGCTGTTAGGCTTCCTCAGGGCAGAGATTCATGTCGTCTGCATTTTTGTAAGTCCAAAGTCAGGCATATAACATGGGGTCAGACAAATCTATAATCTCATAAATGAATAACTAGAGTTGTAATTTTTTTTGAGAAATAATGTTTCTTAACAGTTTGAATATATATTTAAACTTTGTGAAAGACTGGCTTGTTTTAAATTTCAGCTGCTGCCTTTTTTATCACCTATGAATATGTGAAATGGTTTTTGCACTCTGATTCATCTCCATATTTGATGCCTGTGAAGCACATGTTGGCTGCCTCGGCTGGAGAAGTGGTAAGTAATACGTTTATGTGGATAAAATACTTGAGAAATGCAAAGTGTGCAGATGTCTTCAGTACAAGTATTACTGTATTTCATTTTTAAAAGACAGTTCCTTTTGCAATTATGAAAGTCATAAATCCCAATATATGTGAACGGGTTAAACATGATAGTTGAAAGATAGAATCTATATAGGATGAAGGAAAAAATCCAGCTATGTACCTCAAAAGCAATTATAATGGAAGGAATAAAATTAAAGAGATAGGAGAAAATATCCATGCAGATTGTGGTGGCTTTGCGTTGTGTCAACAGGATTTGAGCTGGAACTCTGTTTCCTAGAACTCCTTTTCTAGGATGGTTCCAGGTTAGCCTGGCTGCAAGAGAAATTTGCACAAGATTTGTGAGGCGGAAGTGAAGCAGCAGTTGTGCTCATGCTCAGGAGGTCGGTGCAGGATCAGGCCGCAGCCGGGCCGCTAGCTCCTCCACGTTGCACTGGATTGTCTCCTTCCCTTGGTCTGAATTTTGAGTCGAGTGTGTGGGCTCTGTGGTGACGTGTACCAGTTTATCCTCTACATCATCGAGATGGGTGAGCAAGATTACAAGTTCCAGTTTGACCTTGCTCTTCCCCATTTCACATCCATCTTTTCTTCCCGATGACTTGCCCTCTGAATTTCTGTCTAAATGCTAGATGCAGAAGCAGCAGTTCTCCGTAAACGGCCTAACCAGCTCCCACGCTTACTGGTCACATCCCTGTAATAACTCCTTATTCTTATCATCTTTCATGGTTCTACTTCTCTGATCAACTCTGATTGAGAAATACTAACTGAAAGAGAGCTGGTGGAGTAATGTTAGTATTAGACCAAAAAAATAAAAAAGACTTAAAGCAAATAACAAAGAGACCATTGTATAACGATATGAAGAACAATTCTCCTTGGAGATACAGTGAACCTGGACTAAATAATAGTCTCAAAATATCAAGCCCCAAACTACCAGAATTATAATGAGAAATGAATACAACTGTTATTTCCATTGGAAATATTCACATCTGTCTGTAAAAGTCTTGGGGCCAGGCAGGCATAACTTAAGACCTTGAAAAATCTGAACAACACAGGGGCAAGAGTGGTCTAATGGCTGTGTATGGAGTTCTCTGCCTAACTGTTAAAGATGATTCATTTTTTTTCACACATACTTGGAACATTAATAAAAGTATATGACCCAGTAGTCTGCAAAGCGACTTTCAACAAATCACGTGGAGACAGTGTCATACAGATCATTTGGTGTCTGATTATAATGAAGTAAAATTGGAAACCAGTGACAGAAACATAGGCAGTCCATCCCTTCCATGTGTTTAAAAAATTATCTAACTCTGTCTTGTAAATAATTGGTGAGCGGAAAAAGAAATCGTAATGTAGGTGATAGAATATTTGTAAGTAAAAAATAATACAGGGATATATATTTTTTCTAAACTTAACACGGAAGAGTATGACAATAAGAGAGCTTTCCCTTTCCTCTCACCCACTTAACTTTCTCCAGCCCCTCCTGCTCAGTACTAGAGGACAACCTCTGTTAAAGTTATTTTTGTGTATTCATCCAGAAATTGTTCTTTACTATTATTTTCAAATCACGTTGTTTTGTATGTATGTATGTGTGTATCTTTGTATCTGTGTATCTATCTAATGTATCTTAATAGCCCTAGAACCTTGTTATGGGCAGGGTACGTTAACAAGAATTAGCAAAGTGAAGAGAAGGGTCTCAGTTTATAAGCTTTTTATCATTTTATCAAGTGACATATATATATATATATATATACACACACATATATATGTTTATCATTTGTAAAAATTGTATATATTTACATTAGTAAATTTGAAAAATATCAGACTTTGTAAGATTTATATAAAAAACGATGATATATTGTGGTTTTGTTTTCTGTTCACTATTTTCCTTTGGAAAATTTGAGAATCTACAAACTGTTTCATAATCGAATATTCTTCACTTGAGAATACAGTGAATGGGGGTAATGAAAGGAGAGAGATCCTGACAGCAAAATAAAAGTAAACATTAAGAAGACTGTTAAAGAAAAAAATGTAGCTTTTTTGAGATGTAATTCACCTACCATATAATTTACCCATTTAAAATGTGCAGTTCACTGTTTTTTTTTTTTAACTATGTTCACAGAGTTGTGCAGCCGTCACCACAATTTTAGAGCATCATCACCACTCCACAAAGACACCTTACCCGTCAGCAGTCACTCCCCTTTGTCCCTAACCTTCTCCATAGGCAACCGCTAATCCACTCTTTGTCTCTACAGACTGGCCTGCTCTGGTCATTTCATATAAATGCAGTCCTACAATCTGTGGTCTTTTGTGACTGGCTTTTTTCACTTAGCATAATATTTTCAAGATTTCATCCTGTTGTAGCATGTATCAGAATTTCATTCCTTCTGATTGCCAAATAATAATCCATGCGGTATGGGTATACCACATTCTATTTATTCACTCATTAGCTACCTCGGTTTTCAGTTTTCTTGGATATATACCTAGGAGTGGAAATCATTAGTTGTATGGTAACTTTATGTTTAACCCTTAGAGGAACTGGCCAGGCCGTTTTCCGTAAGTGGCCACAGCATTTTATTTATTTTATTTTTTCCTCAATGGAGGTGCTGGGGATTGAACCCAGGACTTCATACATGCCAAGCACGTGCTCTACCACTGAGCTATAACCTCCTATCCGAATGCCACACTATTGTATATTCCCATCAAGAATGTGTAAGGGTTCCAGTCTCTTCTGCCACCACTTGGTATTACCTGTCCTTTTAATTAGAGCCAACAAATAAATGTTCATTGGCATCTTGTGATTTAGACTTGCATTTCCCTGATAACTAATGATTTTGAGTATCTTCATCTCTCTGGTTATTTGTATATCTTCTTTGGAGAAATGTCTATGCATCTCCTTTGCTATTTTTTAATTAGGTTGTATTTTTTGTTGTAAGTTGTATTTTTGTTAAGTTTTAAGAGTTCTTTATGTATTCTCGGTTTGCAGTTTTTTCCCCATTCTATTTTTTCACTTTCTTAATGGTGTTCTTTGAAGCATAAGTTTTTTAATTTGATAATGTCCAGCTAGTTTTACATTGTGCTTTGATATCATATCTAAGAAACCATTGTGTAATCTGAGATCATGCAGATATTTGTACCTATGTTTTATTCCGAGAGTTATATAGTTTTTAACTCTTACATTTAGATCTTTGAGGCATTTTGCGTTCATTTCTCTATCTGATGTGAGGGTGTGGTCAAACTTCGTTCTTTTTGCAGGTGTATGTCGAGTTGACCTAGCACCATTTGTTTTAAGACTATTCTTTACCTATTGAATGGCCTTGGCACCCTTGTCAAATACTAATTGACCATAAATGTAAAGTTTGTGGACTCTGTTCTATTCTTTTGATCTATATGTCTACCCTTATGCTAGTACCACACAGCCTTGATTACCACAGCTTTTTAGTAAGTTTTGAAATCAGAAGTGTGAGTCTTTCAATTTTGTTCTTCTCTATCAGGATTGTTTTGCCTACTCTGAATCTTTTGCATTTTCATGTGGATTTTAGAATCAGGTTGTCAGTTTCTGCAAAAAAGGCAGCTGAGATTTTCCTAGGGATTTGTGCTGAACCTGCAAATTAATTTGGTGAGCATTATCACTATAACAGTATTAAGTTTTCTAATCCATAAACATAGACTGTCTTTTACTTAGGTCTTTAATTTTTTTCAGTAATGGTTTATAGTTTCAGAGTATACATTTTACAGTTCTTTTGTTAAATTTATGCCTAAGTAATATATTATTTTTGAAGCTATTGTAAATGGAGCTATTTTCTTAATTTCATTTTTAGTTAGTTCATTGCTACTATATAGAAATAAATTGATTTTTGTATATTGATCTTGTATCCTCCAACTTTGCTGAAGTTATTAATTAGTTCTAAAGTTTAGTGAATTCTTTAGGATTTTCTGTCTACTTGGAAATGATACAAGATCATATCATCTGCAAATAGAGATAGTTTTCCTTCTTTGTGTACAATCTGAATGTCTTTTATTTCGTTTTCTTGCCAAATTGCCCTAGTTAGAAGCTCTAGGACAGTGTTAAGTAGTATGGTGAGAGTGGACATCCTTATCTGGTTTCTGATCTTAGGGAGAAAGTATTTAGTGTTTCAGTTAAATTTCTCAGAGATTCCCTTTTTCAAGGGAAAGAGTTGACATCGATTCCTAGTTTCTTTAGTGAAATTTTTCTTTTTCTACCGTGAAGGGTTGGGATCGTCATGTGATTTTTGTTCTTTGTTTTATTGATACCATGTGTTACATTAATTTTTAAATGTTAAACTACTGTTGCATTTGTAAAGCAGAATGTTAAATCTCACTAGATTATGGTATATAAAACTGTTGATATAGTATGAGATTTCTTAACTATTTGTTGAAGACTTTTGCTTCTTTTTTCATAAGAAATACTGATCTTTAGTTATCTTTTCTTGTGTCTTTTATTGGTTTTGGTATCAAGGTAAAACTGGCCTCATAAAATGAGTTGGGAGGTGTTAAGATAATTTCTTTATAAATTATTTTGAAGAAGAAATCATATTAATGTATCTTTTTGGTTGATGAAAACGTATCCAATAATAATGTATCTGGACAATCCAGGAGAAAAGGAATTATGGAGGAAATCTCAGTTCTAAAGAAAAGCAAGGTATTTGTTTATGTGATAGTATGAATTGTTGAGATTATGATGTTTGATATGGGAAAAAAGATGACCTCTGGTCCACTTTGGCTTGTATGTATGTATGTATTTATTTCTGAGATGTATGTAATTTCATACTGTCTCATTACTATGCAGTGAATTTCTTGATCTAGGAAATCGTTTGGATGGTTCCTTGAAGAAAATGTTGAAAGAAATTAGCTAGAGAGACACTAAATTCACCAAAGTGTTTTCTATAAAACTTCCTTTTGACATTGTTTAAAAATGATTTTGCAGAACCTAAGCTA